AGTTACTGTCTTATTTATACCTAAGCTAGCTGGGCTCTGTGACTGTGCTCTATGTACTGCAGAGAGAATGGTGCACCGTATACATACTGCATGCGTGTGTGTGTTATGGCGAGTCAGGAATTTGTTTTTGTTCCTATGAAAAATTTCAGTAAAAAGGAAAACATCAGAAGTTCTGGGGAGTTGTTGAAAAACAGAAACCTGAGAATATTCTAGTTTGGATTGCCAAAAAGCAGAAACGTTTTGATTTTCAAGTTTGGGGGTTTATTTAAATAAACGTCCCCCAAACTTTCCTCTCAATCAGCAATTTCCCCATTGAAATTTCTGTATTGAGTGCAACAAAAGCCATTCTTTCTCCAAAAATAATTTCCAAAGAAAACTGTTGACTCGCTGTAGTGTCTATTGAAAAAGTTACCAGGAATTTCCAGTTGTAAGGCTGTGGTGAGCTACAAGCTGGATGCATATCTGAAGCCTTTGACTGTAATCAAAACTAGGAATTAGTGTAATTCTGTCCATTTTTCTAATTTTACTTTTATTGAAGATGGTTCTATTCATGTAGACGGAAAGAAGAAAGCAGTGAAATCTAATGACACTAACATCCGTACAGTTTACAGTAAGTTTACAATGGTGACCTGATGAAGAGGGGTAACTGACTGCAATGTGTCATAAGTTATCTTATATAGCAGTTACAGAGAATCTCGTATAGAGTAAGCTAGAAAGTCATAAATCTATTAGATTTACCTTTGATTGGTACAGGAGTTGCTTGAGCATTTTATTTCCTTTTCTCATTCTGGGCTTCTTGTACTTATTCAGTGTAGATGTAATGGTTTCTGTTTTGGTTTCTTTTATGGGCTCTTTAGGGGAAGAATATTTATTATTAATAAAAATTACTATTTAATTTGGATTAGAGTAGTACATTCAAAAGCCAAAACCAAGGTTGTGAACCTATTATGCTGGTTTTATACATATACATAGGAAGAGGAAGATTCTACTCCAAGAAGTTATATTCTTAACTATAAGCCAGGCGCAATGCAGAACAGAAGCATGGAGAAGCAAAATTACTTGCCTAAGGTCAAACAGCAGAACCGGGAATAGAACCCCAGAGTCCTAGTCCAGCTGCCTCGTAGCCCACACTGCTTTCCTTTAAGCTCTTGGGAAAAGGAGCCAAGAAAGTTGGTCTAGTTTGGAAGTTCAGTCCATGCAACCAGGTGTTTTTGTAGGTGTCTATAGGTAAGGAAATGGAAGGAATGACAGCGAGTGTTGTGTTGGCTATTGTCTATCCACATCACTGTCATTCCAAGGACTGGGTCAGGTAGTGTATTTAAAAGACAAGTTTTATCTACTAGCTAGCAATTTTGCAGATACTGTAGTCAAGCCAAAGAGAACACCTATACCTTAAATGACAGAGAGTCCATTAAAACTAGAGAGCAGAGCTGGGAAGAAAGAAATTGCTGGGAGCCTAATGGCATGAAATAACTTTGTTTATGCATAACCTTAGCCTAGCTTTGGATTGAGAGTGGTGATTTTTATCCCTTTTTATAGATGGGCAATATATTTTCCCCTTTTCCAGTTTTCTGGAATCTCCCGTATTCCATGACTTTTCAGAGATAATAGATAATGGTCCAACTACGTCTTCAGTCAGTTCCTTGAGTATTTAGGATGTATTTCATCAGGTCCTGGTGACTTGAACAGATCTAACTTGATCTTTTCCTTGTTTAACTTCTGAACCTACCTCATTTTCACCTGCATTCAGTATGTTGGGCATTCAATATGTTAGACGTCCAATCCCCACCAACCTTCTTGGTGAAAACCAAAACAAAGAAGTCATTAAGCACTTCTGCCATTTCCACATTTTTTGTTATTGTTTTTCCCCATTCATTGAGTAATGGGCCTATCCTGTCTTTGGTCTTTCTCTTGATTCTGTTGTATAAGTAGAATGTTTTCTTGATATCTTCAGCTAGTTTGTGTGTTGGACATTCTAATTTTGCCCCTACATACTTGTGTTATTTGCTTATTATCATCCTTCGTAATGTGACCCAATGTCTACCTTTTTCATTTTTAGATAATTCAAGATCTCCTGGTTAAGACAGGGAGGTGTCTTTCCATGCTTCCTGGTCCCTCACCATACTACTTATCTTTCCTACACAGTAGAGTAGTTTGCTCTTGTGCCCTTAATAAAGTTTCTTTGAAAAACTGCCAAGTGGCCTCAATTGTATTTCCTTGTAAACTTGCTTCCCATGGGATCTTACCTACCAACTACCTGTGTTTGCTAAAGTTTGTCTTCTTGAAATCCATTATCTTTATTTTGCTGCTATCCCGCCTACCATTCTTTAGAATCATAACTCTTATCATTTCATGATCACTGTCACTCAAGCTACCTTCCATTTTCAAATTCTCAGCTAGTTCTTCCTGAGCAAAATGTACCCTTCTGTATGAAGATAAAAGATACAGGTAGTAGAAAACAATATACTGATGGGAATGATGTGCAAGTAGATGGTAAAACATGTGCCTGGAATAAATTAGGGTGAAGATGCACTTTGGAAGTGTGGGGAGTGCACATCTGAGATTGGCTGGACATTATAAAAATGCGAGAATGACCAGCAAAGCAAACATAGGAGGAAGAGGACAGCAAGTAAAGATTTGGAAGACCAAGGATTCGATTGAAAGACTGAAGAGAAAAGGAACAGAACTCCAAGACCTATGAACCCGTATCATGGCTGGAAAGCATGGCAAAGAATCACGGGCACCTTAAAACCTGTGTTAATTGCGAAGAGGAGTCAAGAAGAGAAATTAATCCAGGTTCAATACAGACATCTGAAACAAACCCATTTTTTTTAATAGTAGGATTAAAAGAAGCTTTTATATCTAAAGTCTCGCCTCTTTGACATCAGTGTTGACGGGCCATTGGCTTCCATATGTGTTCACAGCTAGGAAACTTTTTATCTATTTCTTTTCTTTGCACTGTAGTGAATGGTTGCAGCATCACTACATCACAGCCTGAGTGGTAATCGTTCTTTTCATTTAATGCCTTTCTTTGCGGCTTGGCCCACCTCAGTGCTGACCGCTAGCATGTGTGGGTTCGTTAACATTACTATAAATTGAGTCAATATTCTTAGTGGATTCCAGCTGACTCACTGCCCTCCTGAGTGTAATGAAGAGACTTAATTACCCTTGTTCTGTTCAAGAGGAACAATGTTGTGGACAAGATTTCTCTTAAAATGTTAGCGTGTACCGTAAATGACTACAGAAACCAGTGTAGACATCCATCAAAAGGAGTATGGAAAGAAGTACAAGTGGCAACCATCACCTGGGTAGAGGAAAAAAAGTGGAAGGCATTACAGCAGAAGTTCAAAACAGACCCTCATCCCAGACTCTGAGGATCTCCCATAATTTGCTGTATACCCTTTTTTCAGGGATTATGGAGGGATGTTGCTGCTGCATGTATTTGAAATACTGCATCAAGCTGAAATATTGTGCATTGAGACAACATTGGGATGTCCTGTACGAGATTGAAAATGTAGGGTTTGGTGGACTTCTGGTCTGTCAGAAGATATTAAGAAACATTGGATATTCACAGTTGAAAGATTTTTTCCCCTTTTTAATTGTATAAGTTAATTACTTAATTTTAATTTATATGGTTAATTTTACTGTTACTAGATGGAAATCTCTTCAGAGCAAGGACCATGCAAGAACCGTTCTTAATACAAGGGCACCTCAAACCCTAAAATATGCATACCTAGTTATGAGGAGGAAAATAGTTAGATCCTTCAAGTACATATTAACTCAGTTTTACACTCAAGTCTTCCAGAGACATAGGGGAAAGGAAAGATTGTCCAGTGGTTACAGTGAAAGCTGGACACCCACATTCGATTCCCTGCTCAGCACAGATCCCTTGCATGACACTTTTATGTGTCTAGCCTGGAAAATGGTGATAATAGTACTTCCCTGCCTCCCAGGATAAAGATTGTGAGGCACACAGATTCTAGAATAATGAGAGTTGTATGAGTTCCTTAGTTAGATGAGCATTGCAGAATCAGGGTTATAATTTGTAATAAAAAATGAATTCATAGCCTAAGCAGCTGGTCGGTATCTCTTTAAAATAAAAGGATTCTGTGTGTGTTCCTTAAATAGTTTTTTTATGCATATAAAAAGTCATAAATGTAAAATCAACTATAAAAAGTGATGAATAATAATGCATGAACCAAATAATTGTAGGACTTTGAAGGGACCTTGAGAGGTTATCTAGTGCAGCCCTCTGCACTCGTGGCAGGACTGAGTATTATGAGAAATAAGCTGAAAAAACAATATTGTATTTATGCCTCTGGTTATTTAATTCAGGTTGGGCACATTCAATAGTTATTTTGCGCATACACAGTGTTTTAGTTCAAAATACATATATATTCTTTCTCTGTATTATATCCACTAAGACTTGTATATGAGAAGTTTTTTCTTGCTCATATCTTTTGGATTTAGTTTATGGAAAAACCCCAGTGCTCTGCACCACATATTTATCTGGAAAGATGCATTTTTAGTTTCAGCAGTTAACTTTCTAGAATACTGATTAGCTAATACTGTTTTTGGCATGCAGCTCATCTATCGTGTGGTAGAACGCCATCTGGATTTTAATTCACTTTTTGAAAATTATTGTTGGGCTGCTATTCCTTTAAAGGCTCTTCTGGCCATGCCGGTACCACCTGCAGACAATGGGGCTGCAGTCTAGTCTCAAAACCTAATTGAATTGGAATGAGAGAGCTGAAGCAATGATTGTTGAAGAGCTTGAGATGGATGACTTTTGCAAAACGAAGGAGTCCAGATAACCACTAGCTTAATGTTCTTGTTGTCGAAAGCTGTGGCTGAGAGTTTATTTTTACTTCTGCGGGTGGCAGAGTTTTAGGGGTGAACTCTCTGTTTGAAGACATTTCATTCATCATCACGAGTTCCCCAATCAGCATTCATTAAACTGTTCCAAACAATGATTGTCTGATAATGTTTGTGTTTTACAGTGATGGGTCTTTCCCCTATGACTCTGTTCCTTGGCAGCAAAACACCAACCAACCACCGGGTTCTTTATCAGTGGTCACTACAGTATGGGGTGTGACTAACACCTCACAAAGCCAGGTAAGCTTCATTTTATGCTCCCAACCCTGAGCTATGCATTTTGGTCAAGTCTTTTGTCAGTAAAATGAAAAAAAAAACCACAACAGAAAAGAAGGGAAAGGCCTGTCATAAAAGCTGTATTTTTCCTCCTCCTTTTGTTCTTCTCTCAGCAGAATGGCTACATATTAGGGTTTGACTTATTTTGAGCTGGTAATGCAATTGTGTGGGTGGAAATGTCACATTATATTGGTGCACTTGTATAAACACTTGCTTTTATACGGGAGAGGGGTGAGTATTAGGGACGTAAAAGCCCAGTTAATCGGTTAACCGGTTAAAAGTTAGGTGACTCTAATGTTTAACTGGCTAAACGGAAACCAGACTGGGCACTGCTTCATCCCAGCTGGGGAAGCCTCCAGACCACAGGACTCCCACTCCCAGCTCCCATGATGGGGGTGGGATTGCAACAGGCTCCCGGCTGCCAGCCCCCGCCAGAGTAGCCCCTAGGACCAGACTAAGGGGTGGGCTAGCTGGGCAGCTGCCCAGGGCGCCAACCTACAGGGGGCGCCCAGCTCCCACCTACAGGGGGGCGCCCAGCTCTCACCTACAGGGGGGCGTCTTCCAGCGGCCATCCTGCAGCAGCCGCCCGGGGCGGGGGCCGTGTTAATCCCCTCAGTGCCGGCCAGCAGCACCCCTTCCCCCACGGCCGCGAGGCCCTGCACGGCCCGGCGCCCGGCTCCCGGATCACAGGCTGCAGCATCTTCCAGCGGCCATCCTGCAGCAGCCGCCCGGGGCGGGGGCCGTGTTAATCCCCTCAGTGCCGGCCAGCAGCACCCCTTCCCCCATGGCCGCGGGGCCCTGCAC